TGCTATTATACCTAGGCGGAAGTAGCAAATTGTGCTATAGTGTTGTGTCAGAATTATACACGTTACTACGTTTTTTGGCGGAAAACACTCTTTACAACCAGATAAAATTTTTTTTTTAAATAAATTTATGTAGTTTTCATGCATAACTGTGATGTAATTTTACATTTATTTTTCATTTTACTGCTATTTTACATTTAAATTGAAAAATTTCTCATTTTAAACCATTTTTTATCATAATCTTCATTTTGTGTATGAGACTTACATTGTAGTGAGCTATTTAAACTCAGTGTCATGTTTACCAGTACTGAGTACCTGAATGATTAGTTAATAAATTTGCATATCCAATTTCATTCACATGTTTTGGTTACTTTCTTTACATCCCAAACGTAATTCTATGTCTATTCTAGCGTCTGGGTTAAGCTTTGCGAACTAAGTAAACTGATACATGCCTCACCGTGAGGAAAGAACAATTTCTCGACCACACTATGATGCAAACATCGAATGAGTGAGTGACATATTTCCTTCAGTGTTATTTAACTGATGCATACAGGTATGTGTGATGTAATTTAATTGATATAACTAAGTGAACTTACACATGCTTGAACCCTGAAGGAAAACAAATCTGTGTATATAATGCTGGAATACAAATAGCGAAAGATTAAGTAAGAGTAAGATATTCTCTTCAGTGTTATTTAACTGCTGCATATGTTTAATTTTGATTCCATATAACTTGTTTTTAATTATAAGAGAAAGAAAAATAATTCAATATTTAACACACATTTCGAGTATAACAAAAGTATTTTAAGAAACAACCTGATAAAAATACATTAGTAATTAAAAATATTTAATTTGTGTACAGGCTGAATTGAAATTAAGATGTGGTGGTGTATTTAATTATGGCAAAGCACACTAGGGCTATCTGCGTAATAGGTGTGATGCCTTCGTGGATGACTTTCTCAGGGAAACTGGCTCGTATACACGTTACACATGAGGAAAGCCACGAAAACACCCATACAGCCAGCCCGTTCGTGGGATTCGGACCGAACTACCAGTGTTCAGCGACTTTACCACTCGGCCGCTGGTGGGCCGAAACTAAGATGTAGGGCAAGTTTATTATTATTATTATTGTGTGCATATGTGTAAGAAAATGTATGTTAATTGTTCCATTTTTAATGTATGGAAGGAAGAATAGGATGCCAATATCGAAGATTATTTACTATAGCAAATAATCACGTCAGGATAAATGTTATATAGAAATCTTGGGAGTGTAAGGGATTATAAGAGTACTTTTAGATTATACTGAAAATATATGCGCACTTCTGCTAAAATCTGAAGTGAATCAGTATGAAGTGACTTTTCACTTTAAAAAGAATGTGATAAGTATACTATTTAAAAGTATAATGACGTGATATTAAGAAATTTGTAGAATTTTGTGATATTTAAATATGAATTTGTCGATTGTTAAGTCAAATCTTTTTATATACATTTTTGCTTGAGATATGTAATTTAAACTGAAAATCACGATCATATATTTCTCATGGAATGTCAAAGTTCATTTGTATTAAAAAAAGTGCATGAGCAATGAAAATAAATAGAATAATACTTTTTGATTATGTTTTTGCCATGGTCTTAGCACTTATGCCATCATGTGTTCTGTTCAACAAGATTTATTTAATGCAAGCAATACTACGAAAAAATATTGAAAAATACCTTGTTTTACAATATTTATTTCCCTTAATTAACTTAAATATCATTTTTAATTTTCTAATGCTTTCCTTTACGAAAAGAATTTAATGTTTACAATTATTTTCAGCATTTGTACGAATTCTGTGCATAAAATAAACATTTTCTTTAACAAAATACTTAATCGGAAAGTATATACCCGGTATTTCCGGTGTATCTACTACATATAAAATGATCATTTTGCTTTAGTTTACATTTTTTTACATTACCAAAATCATGTAGCAGACGCATCGGCCGATGCGTCTTGTCTCCCGGGTGACGTCACCAGCAACCAATGGCACACTTTTTTCCGTTCCTGGCCTAACCTTAGTATATTAAAGAACCTTGCATAAAGGTATTATGCACATGTGTAAACGCATTACGCGTTTACGCATGCACAGAAAGTTTGTAGCTTTGAGGTCCGGATTATAGATCATTCTGGATTATGGACGTCCGGATTAAAGACTTTTGACTGTACAATATGTAACATATAGGTACATATAACTACTATGCTGCTTGGCCGACCAGTAACTCTCTAAAAATCAAGATAATATCGACTTCAGTTTAGCTCAGCAGTGTTAGATCGTGTTTCTTATTTTATTTTGACGTACCTAATTACTCACTAATCACAATAGTAATTTAATTAAGTTTAATTTTTTTAAGAAAAATAAATTAATTATCCTAATATTTTTAGAGAAATGGATAAGTTCTTGACTAGTTATAAGAGAAAAACCTCTAATAATGAAGAATCTGACGTTGGCACTAGTAGTAGGAATCCGGAAGGAAGAACTCCCAAGACAAGAAAATACGATTCGTCTTATTTATCCTTCGGATTTACAAGTGTTATTACTGATAATGTGGAAAAAAACCAATGTGCTTGTTTTGTTTGAAAGTTTTCGGCTGCTGATAGTACGAGACCCGGAAAATTAAAGCGCCACATTGGAACTATGCATTCTCAATACGTTGGCAAGTCCCAAGAATTTTTTCAAAGAAAATTGGATGAGTTCACTAAGCAAAAGCAAGCGTTCAAAAAAACAGTTCATATTCCATCAAATGCATTACTAGCATCGTACTCAGTATCTTACAGAATCACGAAGTGTAAAAAACTACACACAATAGGAGAAACAGTTTTGCCAGCAGCTATTGATATGGTCAAAACAATGTTTGGCAAATCATATGCAAAACAGTTGCAACAAATACCGCTTGCTGATAACACTGTTGGCAGAAGAAACGATGATATATCTGACGATCTTTGCGATCAATTAGTTTCTCAGATGAGCACTTCAAAATTCGCCTTTCAAGTAGATGAAGCAACCGATGTAGCTAAAGACGCACATTTAATTGCATATGTTCGATATGTTGAATAATTGAAGATATTTTTTTATACGAAAGCTCCACAGAGCAGCTCTCGTATAAAAAATATTACTGATCTACATTTTTACAAAAGTGACAAAAGTTGTTAACTACATAAAAAAAAAAAAAAAAAAAAAAAAAAAAACACAGTCTATTAAAAGTTAAGTTATTTGCAAAGCTGTGTGAAGATATGGAAGCTGCTTACACCTCACTTTTGTATTACTGTGAAGTGCCCTGGCTATCTCGTGTAAAAGTGATTCAGAGGACACTTGAACTCAAAGAAGAAATTGCAATTTTTCTCGAAAAATTCGTAATGAGGATGCAAATATGTTTAGGGATGATAATTTTATTATTAAACTTACCTATTTGGTGGAAATTTTTGGAAAATTGAGTGTTTTGAATAAATCGATGCAAGGGTTACAAATGCATATATTGATTTAAAAAGATAAAGTGAAAGCATTCATTAAAAAATAGAGATATGTAAGACAAATGTGGAAAAAAATAGGTTCAACATGGTTCCACTTTTAAATTTATGCACCCAAGTAAATAGAGAAGCAAACAAAAATCTATTTGTTGAACACTTGGATGGTTTGTTAATTCACTTTTCGAATTATTTTGATGACCTTGATTTTACAAAATATGCGTGGATACAGAATCCATTTATCGACAAAGAAGATGACAAATTTGAATTAACAAGTATTGAGAAAGAAAACTTAATTGAACTATCTTGTGATACTTCTTTAAAACAAAAGTTTCAGAATGTATCTCTGATTCAATTTTGGCTAGATATTAAGAGTGAATATAATATTTTGTCAAATAAAGCTTTAAAAGTATTGCTGCTGTTCACAACATCTTTTTTATGCGAAACAGGATTTTCTGCATTAGCTGCAATAAAATTGAAATATTATGCTCGTTTGGTTGTAGAAAAGGAGCTTCGTGTCTCATCAACGACACCAAGATTTGATAAACTTTGCGCTAATAGGCAAGCACATCCATCTTATTAAGCTACAATACTAAAATATTGTTATTCATTTTTTCTTGTGCATAAGAGTGTATCTTAATAAATTTTTTAGTACTAAAAACTTTTGTGTTTGTAGTATTTTATAAAATGGAAGAGCGGCGCCATATGATCAACTATTCTTAAGGGAGCCATGATAAAATAAAGTTTGGAAACCACTGCTCTAACTGCAATTATGATTACTTATGTGGCCACTGTAATGCACAGACCTACGTATGAAAAACAGCACCAGTAAACATCTTTTTGCATGAAAATATATAATGGACTTAATATTTAACACAAGTTTTATTCTCTTAGGGGCACAAACACTTACATTTACAGCAAAAACTGCTGAGTTAGCTTCCATGCAGTTGTTGCTGAAGACACAAAATTTAGAATATAGCAAGAAAGTGTTAAAACCTAAGTAAGGTAATTCAAATGAAGATGGGCGTCTTGCTAATTTCATCTCATAATATTTGTTTATGTGTTATATGTTATTTTATTGAATGCAAATGACATATCCAACATAAATTTTTAACCAAATTGCATCTAGCTCTATGAGAAAGCATGAAAAAATAACTAAGCTTATACAACTCAATGTTGTTTTCTGCACCTGAACATTAAATACCGAATGTATATCTGAATTCAAGTTAAACTTTTCAAAAGAATATGCTACATTTATATTATATACCCAAAACCATCCACTGAATTTTTAAAAATTTTAGCCTTGCAGAAACAAAAAGTTCAAATTTAATATTTTTTCTCACTGAATTTTCTTAAGAGTTTATACCAAGATGAATGATTTTCATGTGCTTCTTTGAACAATTAAACACGCCAATTCAGCAGCTTTCTCATATTTTTTCAACAAGTTGATTACAAATTATAAATTAGGAACTTAGGCAGAAAATAATCAGATATAAAATCAAGATTTATTTTAAGTAATTTATTAAACTTATTAACAAAAATTATACAATTTTCCAAACCTGCAAAAAACCACAGCAAACAATATATTCCACACTTTTCAAGCAGATTGGAGGAAAACATTCTGATTTGTATAAAATAAGCAACTGATATATATGCTATTTTTACTTATAATCAATCACACACAATAAAAAGAATAAATTTTCAGTTTCTCAATAAGACATAATTTGAAGTTTTGGATTGTCTAAAGAGCTCTTTAAATTTCAAGGGGTTTACAGTATATTAATGCATCCAATATACATTAGTTAATGTTTCATAAATTAATTTTTATATAATTTCAGTGGGAAGAGATTTGTAGATGAATAACTTAACAATGCAGAGCTTGCAAGAGCTAATTTATTGCAAAAACATTTCAAAATTAAAATTTATTTGTATTAAAATGGAATCAAATTCCAATGCATGCTTTGAAGAATAATATAGAAAATGCTTGAAATGCATAGAAACACATCATCTCACCTATACTCATATTCAAAACTTTCAAAATGTAGCCAAATATGGTCAGCTCACGTTTACATATATACAGTTTCAACAAGCACTGAATGGATGGACTAAAAATCACTTTCATGGAACTAATATATATACAAGCAACAGTCAGTGCAGAAGGTATTTTACATTAAAAAAAAATAATAATAATAATAAAATAAAAAAATAAAGCATATTAATGAGAACAAATAATTTAACAATGAAGTGTAAAACTTCATTTTGGTCAATAAAACATAATACTAAAGCAAATACATCTTGTTAAACATGTCAGCAGTGAGATTATGAATCCAAAAAATAGACATCAGTAAATAAATATTAACTAAAAAAATGCAGTCTTAAAAAATACAGCCAAGTTAGCATTTAAATAAATTAACTTCCTTCCTTTAATTATTAATTAATATTTTATGGGCTTCTTCACATCACTCCCAAAATCCAATAAAATAAAATTAAGTATATTTATTTTAAAAGACCATGTAAAAATATTTGATTTGCATAAACAAACTGCTGAAGGCAAATATGTTTTTCTTGGGGCCAGATATTGCATATTCATTTATGGATCTAGTTGGTATGAAAGCAGTCAAGAACCTTTTATCTTATAGCTTGAGACATATGCAAAGGTGTAAGCATAAGTTCAAAGGCAGCATCTTTTAAATTTGCACCCCTCAAATTTGCTTCATGTAAATCACTTCCTGAAAGATCACAATTCTAAAAGAGAAAAATATTCAAGAAAATCAGAAAGAAATTTTTTTTAAAGGTACTCAGAACTGTGGTTATTTTAAGTCCAGAAATTTATCAAAGAATAGTGAAATAAATAAATCTTTAATACTACTGCAAGTTAAGTGATGCTGAGTCTAGAACAAAAGTCATAAAATTACCTCCAAGTCAGCACCAGCTAAAACAGCACCTCGAAGATCACAATTCTGCAAATTTGCATTTTTTAAAGTAGCCACTCTTAAATTGACACCAGCCATCTGACTGCCTTCCAGATTAGCTCCTTTGAGATTTACACCTGAAAAAAGATAATGGTAATAATGCTTGTGTTAGATTTTCCAACTAAAAAAAATCACTCGGTAATCTTTAGCATTACTTGAAATTTATCACATATGTATACAAAATAATTATGAACAAAACAAAATTATATAAAACAAAATTATAACAAACAACATATATTAATACAATTCAATATGACTGATAATTACTATTCTAAAAAAATAAAGAAACGAAAAACACCGCTGTTCCCAAGTCTGATAATTTAGGTACATGATTTAAAAGATACAGACTCCAAATATTTTAATAAGACATTAAAAAGGACATAGTTAAAAGGCCCACCAGCTGCTGAGCGGTAACGTCGCTGAACACTGGTAGTTCAGTCCGAGGTTCGAATCCCGCGAATGGGCTGGCTGCATGGGCGTTTTTGTGGTTTTCCCCATGTGTAACGTGTATACAAGCCAGTTTCCCTTAGAAAGTCCTCCACGAAGGCATCCCTCCCCTTAGGCAGATAGCCCTCGTGTGCTTTGCCATAATTAAATGCACACCAACGACATTTTAAAAGGCAATATTAATGCAAGCAGAAAATTAAAGGAAACATTTTGACAGAAAAAAATTCAAATATTTTTATTGACATAACTTGTAATTTTAGGACACAAAATAGATATTTAATAATGAGTTGGTCTACTCAAGCCTTAAGCATGCCACACATGTATGAATAGAATCACATAGTTGCCGATTTTGTTCTGCAAAAATAGCTGTTTACAAATTTTGCAATGACCATACATAACTGCAACTCTTATCAGTTTACAACTACCTCCAGACAGAAGTCTTTCTTGCAGACACAAAAGGAATTCTTGGTTTTCCTATCAGTCATCACATTCCAATTCTATTATGCTCCGTTCTATTCTATTCTGCTCATTGAAATCCATGACAACAAAGCCATCCACCATCATGATGTTAAGAAAAGAGCTTAGTTATAGGTTGTTACTTTTTGTGACTGTTGCATGCCAGTTGGTCATTTGTATATGACCTCAATATTTCTGGTTAATACCCTCTGTCTAATACTCTGATAAACTCTTAACAAGGTAGACTTAAAAAAACAGAACTCTTGTGATTTTCAAAACTGTATGACCCATCTTTCTGGCATATCGTAAGCAAGATAGTGCAGGGCATTTACACACACTGAGTGAATACTTAATCTGAAGTAATACTTCACTAAGCTAATGCAGACTTATCATCTGACTGACATCCAGTGTACTGCTTAGGGGTTCTGTGTGTTAATTTCCTTTTAGTTGTTATTTCCACCATTCTCCTAGTGGTATACGATGAAATTAAATTAATCACAAGCAGACTGACAGAAGTTCCCCCTTCCTCACAACCTAAAAACTAAATCGAACCTGGAAATACTGTTAAAAGTGTAGTTACTGATTTATGCATTATCTGAACATTATTTCTGAAAGCAATGAGCCATATGAACATTTACGATATTTTGCCAAAACTTTGCATCACATACTGACTCAAACTGACAAACATACTGACTTGCCCTTTTTAACATTTTCATCAAACTCTGTAAACATTTTTATCTAAGTTCTTTAATATTATATTAAATATTAAAATTCATAAAAGAAATTCACATATATTACTTACATTAATTACATTAAAAATACTTTCTGTGGTATTTTTCATGTATTCTTAACAGAAATCAATGAAGTAATTATTACTCCTTTCCTTTTGTTACAAATATGGCAGAATCAAAGGGTACAGTCTGTCATCATTGTTGTCACTACTTCCACCAATACTTAAAGCAAATAATGCATTACACACTGATTCTACAGTATCAGCTAGAGCACTCCCTGTGAGTGTTTTCACAATTCCAGCAACTTTGGTATGCCCATAGCTATTTTTTTTTTTTTTTCTACAGCAGAATCCAGGAATATAACATTAAAAGTTCTTTCAAAAGGTCTGAAAATGAAACTGGAATGTTCTATTCAATTAAAAAACCTAACAAATCAGCAATTTTTATAATCCTTTTCTTTGTCTTTTATGAAGAAAAAATCCGATATTTCTTTAATTTCATTGCATTAATTTTTTTGTGAAATTTATTCATTTCTTTATGAAAATTATTATTATTTCATTTTTCTTTCTTTAAGAAAATGCCATGCGCAAATGAAAAGTCTTTGCTACAGACAATGCAATGTGCATGATTTACAGAAATTTCAGATGCTTTAATGAAAGGAAAATCCGATGAATACGAGTCTTAAAATTTCTGGATTGTAATTTTTGCCTTTTGTTTTGAGGCAGTATAATTCACAAACTCAAAATATTCCAGTTTAATCATAACTCACAAGAAGCACATGCTATGTTTTTTCACCACAATCCAAACATATGAAAAAACAGCAGGTGCTTGAAAATATTAATGACTGGAGTTTGCAATGATTACAATTATTTAAAACCAGCAAAACTATCAGCTCACCATGTCATAAAAGATGTCACAATCATTTTGCCAATCATCATATGAATATTTGCCCATCATCACGAGTAAACTGATTTCCATTTGTGCACCATTTTCCTTGCCCCCTTCACTTTTTTTCAAATTTACAATACACTCTTTCTTAAAAATAAGCAACAAAGGCAAAAAATACAGAATAAATTAAACACTATTTAATGGATATGCATATAATTGATCCAAGAGGTTGGTGTAGAATTACTAGACCACCATAACAAATAATAAGGCAAATACATAGAAAAACACATATTACAACCATCGCATTACAAAAGACCAAATGGGTCAGAAGCATACGCAGTAGAAACATCATGCTAAAAATGGGTATGATAGTCTCTAGCTGAAATGTAAACTTGACAAGGGCAAGACAAGCTGGCAATAGTGCCATTCATAACTTGTGGCAGTTGCACCCATTCCTCTGATAATACCTGTCAGAGGTCATGGAGGATGTCTGGTGGCACACTGTAACCCATTATCCATCATTCCAACATGTCTCTCACATATTCTATGGGACTGAGTTCTGGTGATCTAGCAGGTCACAGCAAATGTGGAATGGTTTCACTCTCCAGATAATTCTGCACCAATTGAGCTCTATGCAGGTGGGTGTTATCATCCGTAAATACTGCATCAGTACCCACTGCAGCAGTAAAAGGATGCATAAAATTGTGTAGAATTTTGTAGCAATATCAGACGGCTGTGATGGAATCACCAAGAAACACATAAAGGTCGATGTGGCCATTTGTTAATATCCCAACCCATACAAGTAAGCCTCTCCTCTGTGGTTCCTTATCTATGATATTGGGTCGCCGATAGCGTGTTCCTGGCTCTCGCCACATCACTGACCTTCGTGAATCATCCATAAAGAGCATGTGGCCCCATTGCTCTAGTGTCCAATTGTGATGTTCATGGGATGGGGACAAAGGAATACAAACAACAGCTTTTCAGGCATACAGTCCATCTTCATGCAGTCGAGGCTACACAGATTAGCATGATATGGGCCATTCTGCAACAGCAGGTGGACGTGACACCAGCTGTCATGCAATTAGTAATCTATGGCATCTTGCACATAGCAACAGGAAGCGATCGTCTGCCATTGTAGTAATCCTGTGCTGTCTAGACCCACATCTTCTACAGGGATTTTGATTCCTTTGGAAATGATTCCACAGCCTACTGATGACACTACGATGCACATTGAGCTCTCTCGCAGCAGCAGATTATCTTGAACCAGCCTGCAACATCCCGACAGCCCTCCATCATGCAAACGGTGTCTTCGGCTCATGCTTCCTGCTTAGGCTATCTCGGATGACATCGAACTATTGCTGCTTGCGAAGTGATGCATAGTTCTGGCATGCCCCTTTTAAGACTTTTCTGCAGGATTGCATTTTATGCTAACTTTGGTTGCCTATTTGCATTCAGCAATGCAGCTTCTACCTCATATGTAAATTGTATGTTTTAATTCCCTCTTTTTACATTCACACCTGTCACGTCTTTTAGCATTTGTTGCTTAATTTTTAAGTATGAGAGTATTTTCCATACTTCCCATACCTAGAAGCTTTTAAGGAATTTTGACAGTGGTTGAAGATTATGTTTATGTCATAACCTCTGTAACACTGATGAAATAAAATTCAAAACTCACAAAAGAATTAGAACTATTTATACCTCAATAAGCAGCTTTCTGCCAGAAGCTACAAGATGAGAGCTAGTGAGGTTATGTGGAAAGGTCGAAATCAAGCAATGATGCTATGTAAATTCAAATTTCATGGCTCAGTGCCTAGGACAAATTATTGTATGTTGGAACCTATTAATTAAAAATAAGTCTAAAACAGACGACAGTAACATATATATATACATGTTCATCTGAAATGTCTGAATGAGGAGATTTCTGATGAGATTACCTTCCATATTATTGTATGGTGGAAACTACTACCATATTTGACGGCATATAAGACGCACTTTTTTTCCCTAAATTTGGTCTCAAAAAGTTACCTGCGTCTTATATGTGAAGGTAATTGCATTCAATAATTGTTTATTTGACTTTTACAAAACGTGAGAACTAAAAGAAACCACGCTATTGTAACTTTTTTTCCTTGTGTGTGGCCGTCTAAATAAGGGTGCGTCTTATATGCCGTCAAATACGGTAATTAAAAATAAGTCTAAAACAGACGATGATACAGTAACATATATATATATACATGTTCATTTGAAATGTCTGAATGAGGAGAATTCTGATGAGATTACCTTCCATATTCGCTCGATTTCCAGCTGGGTCTTCCATGTTACAAGATCGCAGATTTGCACCTTCCAGATTTGCACACAGCATTTTTACACCAAGCAAGATGGCACCCTTTACAGATATGTAAAGTAAAAACACAAAATCTTAACACTGCAGTTTAAAACGTAAATGAATTATAATCATAACTTCTTGCATAAAAACATTTTATAGTTAATAGTAGTATAGAAAATTAGACTCAAATTTACTTTAAAATCATCTGCTAAATATAAGCATAAATTACTTTATGATATATCATTATCAATACTTTAAAAACTATATTAAAAGGCTGCAGTATAAAAAAGGATAATTCTTAAAGCTCCATACACTGAGAAATTATCTTTATTTTATGCTAGTTAAACTAAATAATCATTCTTCTGGGCTTTCAAGACTGACAGTAAAATCATTTATATTTGTGCATTACCTCCATGTCATTATGCTCATGTATGCAAAATAAATAGCCAGCAATAGTAAAATACAGTACACTCCCGATTATCCGCGGAATTGGGTGGCGCGGCTGCCGCAGATACAAAAATCGCGGATAATCCAAAAAAAGCTAAAAACCAGTATAGCAAAAGAGAAAACAGTAATTCCAACTTTGAAAAATTGTTTTATGTACAATAAAACGTAAAATAAACAGCAATAAGTGTTTAACTAACGCTTAATATTTTAGTATACTACATTTTAGCACTCAAAACTAACCTAAAATGCATTTTGTTAATGAAAACAGAAATGTGCTTTGTACTTATGAGAGGCGTCAAAGATACACAGAAAAATTAAAACATATGTACTGTTTTAATACCGTAATGTATTATGTAATTACAAGAGCATAACTGTAAAACTACACCTTTTAAAAGAAATCAGTCATTTGTATTTGCTTCTTGCTTTGGAAGCATTTCCTCTTGATCCAAGATTGCATTTTTTGTAGCATAAGTTTCTCGGCCAACTCCGCGTCGTCTTGTTCTTCCAAGCTCAGCAGTCTGTCGACTTGTTGCAAAGCCGCTTCATAAGTCTTCCGCATCTGCACAGTGGGCTCTTTTTCGCCTTCACTTCACTCTCCTTCATTCTCGGTCTCTTCCCTTGCTTTCTTCATAATTTCGTCATCTGTCAAGCATTCAAAGCCAGGTTCGTTGACGTCACACTCCAACCACTCGTTAATGTTTTCAGCATTGACGTTCTCACCACCCGCAACTGTTTTCACCATATCGGCAAGAGTTGCCGTGGGTGTGTCTACATCTTCATTCTCTTCTTCCCAACTCAAAGGGGTTCAGTTGTTGTTGGCTTCAACATTAGGCATGAGTTTTCTTCATGATTTATGAGGGTTGATGGTTTCACTGAGTCCCAAGCAGATGCAATATCGTAGATGCTGTCTGAGATTGTGTAGTGTTTCCCAAACTCTTTCAGATCATAACCTTCTTCAATTTTGGTCGTTAGCAGCTTGGTTCGGTATGTTCTCTTCATAGTTGCAATGACTCCTTGGTCCATGGGTTGGATTAGCACAGTAACATTTGGGGGGGGAGAAACGTTGCAAAAATTTGTCCATCAGAAGACTTTAGCACGCTTGTTGCTGGGTGAGAAGGTGCGTTGTCGATCAATAGCACAGCTTTTTTCAGGCAGGTTTTTTTTATTTAAGATGTTTACGCACTTGAAGAACAAAGATTTTTTCGAACCATCTTGAAAAATGTGTCGGTTCATCCATCCCCCCCCTTTTTTTTTTTGTTAAAGTAATCAATGGGAAAATTTTCTATCCTTGTGCCTTTGAAATATCTCAGTTTTTTTTTTTTTTTTTTTTTTTAAATTTTCCAATGACAACAAGTCTACGTTTATGTCCACCCGTAGCGTTACTGCAAGACATGATAGTGATCCTTTCTTTGCTGCTTTTATGACCCGCCGCTTTACTTTCACTTTCAGATGCTAAAGTGCGAGTGGGACGATATTTCTACAAAACTCCCGATTCGTCGGCATTGTTAATTTGTTCAATAGATAGCTCTTCTTTCAAAACAAATTCCTCAGATTAATGGTGGAAATCATCAACTGCTTGTTGGTCACCAGTAAGTTTCTCCCCATGAAGTCTAATTTCTCGAATTCCATGTCTCTGTTTAAAACGAGTCAGAACCCTTCATAGTTTTTCATGTTTTCATTGCGAAAGCTCTGTCCGACATTGATGCAAAGTTCACCAGTTTGTCTTTTTGCTTTAGAATGTCACGCACTGTTGTTTCCGCATTCCGTAATCCAATTCCATCTGCTGCCTTGTAGTGTCATTTGCTACTTTGGAAATTAATTCTAGTTTTTGCGCAATCGTCAACACAACCTTCTTTCATTTTCCTGACATTTTAAATCGGTAACGAAAAACACAAAACCAAAAGGCACAAGCACTGAACACAATAAAAGATAAGAAATTAACTCCGACCGGTTCGCGAATACTATCAGGCTTAAACTAACAATGGCGAGTGGGACGAAGTGGACATGTCAGTAAGATTAAGATAAGAGAGGGCGGTGGAGCGAGCACTGCAAAGGTGAGTAAGAAATCACTTACTCATTAGAGGGGGAAGGTTCCAAGAAGGCCTGGGATATTTATAAATATCCCTGGCGCTAAATACCGCCTGGTGCAGTCTCTATGGGTAAAAAAATTCTGCTACAAAGCGCTTTCCTAAGTTCTAAATTTTCACCATGCCTAAACTTTGGATCCCAGTGCTTTCCCTAAATTGTAAAAAACTTCTCATCTCTTAATTTTGCTGCTTGGTGCTTCCCCAAATTCCAAAAATTTCGTCTTCCCTAAATTCTGCCGTCTGGTGCCGACATATTCTGCTGCCGCTTCTGGATTTATGGTGAATAACATATCAGTTATTCTTAATTAAAATAGCCCTAAATATAACCTTTTGACCTATAAGTTTCATTAAAAAAATCTATTTTTAGCATATTAAAAGAATTTTTTGTTGAATTTTTCCTCATCAACATGAGCATTTAAAAATCTATAATCATTACCAAGCATAATGTTAGCACAAAAGGTTGCCATACTCTTGTTATTCAATTCCTAATAAAAAAAAAAAAAAAAAAAGAAAAGAAAAAAAGTTTAGACATTGCTGCGCGAGTTATTACTGAAGCCGTCATGTATTGATAAACATGCGGTGATGAAGGCAAAATATAATAAATAATGACTCGCCAGGTTGGCATCAGGGATATAAAATAGGTGAATGTTTCGGTTTGAGATGTATGCCAAGCAAACACTCAGCTATGGAGCCAAATTATTAATCTCACAAATTTATGCTTACATGATTGTTTTTCCATAACGAGGTTATTTATTTAGTGCATAAGTGAAATTAAGAATCGGAATTTTTAGGTAAAAATCTCCACACGTTTTATTATGGAAGGAAAAATCAAATGCGCATGTGTAAAGCTAAAAAAAAGTCTGTGAGGTTTGGATTTTAGATCATTCCGGATAATGGATGTCCGGATTTTGGACTTTGTACTGTACTATCTTCTTATAATATATAGAATACAGTAAAAACTTAGAATTTAACAGACCAATTTTACTGCAAGAAACTTTATGTAAATAAAATGTATAACAAAATGCGATATTGACAGTTTCATGCAATGCTATGCAAATTAATATAGTGCAAATTTTTATGCACATACAGGAAAAGTTTCAGAATTATCCATAATTACAATTTAAATACAAAAATTCTAGCAGAATTAATTAAAAATAGTAAACAATTTAAATTGTCGTACTAAGCAACAGTGTGCACCATGGAAGCAATTCAAAACAGAAGAGCGAAACCACAGATGCAAAAAACAAAGAATAAAAAGAGCCTAAGAAAATTATATAGCATGTTATTGCCACTTACAAAATACAATAAAGTATGAAATTATATTTTACTCCCATTCCCCCATTTTTACTGTTCATATAATCCTATATTTTTTATAGAAACTTGAAATTTCACTCTTGAAACTGATTTCATTATAGAATCAGCAACCAAATAGATTTTTTAATGTAGTTTCTGTCAAAATCTTTTCTACGTGTATTTGTTTCACAGAATATCAAACTACATGATGCACAACATCAATATGTTAGTTCTTGAAAGGAACACACGGTTTTTACTAAGGTCTGTAGCTCCTTTATTATCACAATATATTTGTAGAGGGCTATTTTGTGCTTATAAATTCATCTCAATCAGAATTTACGAGGCTACAATGTTTCTGTAGCCAAGAAATATAATTTCTTTAGCTTTTTTGCCCCACTTTCAGTGTTGTGATTTTATAATCTGTGAAAATGCTTTACATCTAAAAACTTTACGATAGCTGAAATTAGGCCTTTTGCCAGTCATGCCATCCATGCTTCATGGAGTTTAACCATTTACTGCAACAGCAAGGCAACAGTTCCTGCAATAACTTTCAGTGCCAGCCCTTAAAGCATTTATCATGATTTGTTTGATTCAATATTGCACAAGCTCTTTCCACAAGGATGTGATTAGATCTCTCTATAAAATCATTTTGTTAAGAGTTGCATGCAAGTGTTTTTAGTGACATATGCCTTCTTTTGTTGATTTCTACTTCCCTCTTACTGGGAATATCTTTTTATCAGTTTTTCCATATAGGTTTTAAAGATAAAAAATTTCTCATCTTTTGTTTAAAAAAAAAACTAACAAACATTCCAGTCATAACATTAACTAATGTAAGAAAATATTTAATGTTTCCATGAGATTTAATTTCTTTGGGTCCACCCACATTAGAATGGATAATTTCCAGCACATCTTTAGCTCTAGCAGCTTTCTGTTTTGGAAAATGTGCACACAGAATTTTAATTGTGTTCATTATCATCCTCATGGAAACAGTTTCCAGAAACCGTAGACGTCAACTTACTAAATCTGGATAACTGAGACATACAAGTCTGTGCCACAAATTAATAGAATCATTAATCATTATTTTTACTGACTATAATTGTATTTTGAATAGCATGCAGATAGTAGATTACCACCTCTAGCAGAAGCAGTAGCTAGCACAGTTTTAGTTTATTTCTGAACTAATTCACAATGTCCTGCATAAAAGGTTGTTAAAATTTTCAATTCGCTTGCAAGATATTTAACTGATATTAAACTACAGTCAGTCCTGGCATATACAAAACATTAATCAAGGTTATTTTTATAATCCTGACTTTATGTTTGGTGCTTTACAAAACACTACATGCACCTATGAATTACTGATCTCCGAGTCCTCACTGAACAAGTCTTTTAAAGTCAATGAACCAGTCTCTGTGAGGTGGAATATACCGATCAGTTTTTGAATACACAATCCATGGTTCATCATTAGCTATACTAATATTTGATTCTGCACTCAAAATCTATACCTCTGTTCCTTTTGGATCATGATTTGACTGATTTTTTAGTTTTAGTACCAATTTCAAAGTTTTCCTTTTGAACAGAACTGCTCTTTTTCGCAAAATTTAACATTACAGATTTGTCTACTACAAATGTTGCATTTATCTTGAAAACATGAATAACAGGCTGACTTTATAGCAAAGCATTTTGCTCCAGATTAGCCATTTTTGCATATTTTGCCTTTAACTTTTCACAAACCAGATTGGTTGTTAATTCTTATACAGTCAAAAGTTGTTAATTCGGACACCCATAATCCGGAATGATCTATAATCCGGACCTCAAAGCTAAAATCTTTCTGCGCATGCGGCGCGTTGACGCATGCTCATAGGTGTTTTACGCATCCGCGCAAGACATTTATGACTGCGCACATGCGTCTGCGCAAGTGCAGAATACGTTTTCGCGTCGGACGGCATAAGCTAAAATTATCTAATTATCTATTTCAGTTAATGTTGATGATTGCGTTGTTCCTTAATCTTCGAATTGGATCCAGCTTATTATTTTTTGCAGACTGTAAGAGCAATTTTATAAAAGTAAGCTTGAACTTTCGATTATGTCAAATAGAATTTCCGATGCTGGAGCTCCCAAAGGATCTAGAAAACAAAAGTATGATTCGATGTCCATCAAACAAAAAACGAATTGCTACAAAAAATGGATAAAGGTATATCCTTTGTTTATCTAACCGTTCCGAAATCTGTTTATCAATTTCACGCTGCTCTGCGTGGGGGGGGGGGGGCGTCGCGACGAGCAATGAACTGGAAGTTGATCTGTCACCACTATCGTTATCTTCAGAGCAGATGTTTTTATTTTATTCGGCTTATAATTCCTTATTAAATGTAGTATTTAATCTCGATGTACTCTGTCTTTGATATGATTTAAATCAAATTCCTCGTCATTATAAATATCACGAATACAAATCAAATAGTTTTCTGGTTGCAATTTTCTAATTTCGGCTATGCGTAAGGTACGCATGCGCGCGTTGAAAGAAATGTTTAATAAAGTAAACAAATAAATATTAAGCTTCTTTTTTTGTAAATTTTGATACCCTTTAGATCATAATTGCTCATTATTTTATAAATTACGGTTTCATATTTTTAATTTTATAATTTCTGCATGCCATCTTGCCAGATTTAAACTGATGAACTCTAATCCGGAAAAATCAATAATCCGGAACCGCCGAAGTCCCGACGAGTCCGGATTAAAGACTTTTGACTGTATTGTTTTCCAGCCATGGTTAATGGATGGATATATGCTGGTAAATTTACTAAAACATTTGCAGCAACAGCTTGATCAGGATGTATCAGCAATACTTTTCTCATCTTATTTCCAATGTTGTCTCATCACTTCAATATATTCAGACATGTCTCTATAGAGTTTTAGGATTTTGAAGAAAACATTTCTTTGTCAGCAATATTAATCTGCTAGGATTATTGTCCTCATATAAATTCAACAGACAATCTCCCATGGACTTTGTTCCTGCTCAATTTAAAATTTCTTTGATCACATTACAATGGCTGACCTTTAACATAACGAATCTTAATGGCATTTGTATTTTCATGCATACATATCACAAATATCTTCGAGGTGATATCCAAAGTAAGTATCCACTTGCTGCAGTTTATTCATCCATGAATGTTGTCACAGTTTGACAGACATCACTTGATATTACAACAGTGCCAGAAATAATTATTTTTATAACATACGCTTTCCATCCCAAAGTAGACTTAGCACAACAGATAAAAAAGAAAAGTAATTTTCACTTTGTGTGGCTGCTAAAAACAGTAAAAAATTATTCAGTATACTGGGTCCATAATCAGATAAAATTTTAGCAACCAAAGTTCTAGCAGAAATGAAAATAGAAAAAAAGGTACTTACGTATTAACGCAACCAGGCCAAAATTCGCATAAATTGCCAAATTTGGCGACCCTACTTACGGCAACCCTACGTGTTATACGTAGTTTTGTAAAAAGAGCATGTGGAGATTCACAAAATTTTCCTGCATTTTCGTGCAAATTTTTGTAATTTATGAGAAAATAGCAGTGTGCATGGATAAAGTCAAGAGTGTGCGCAATGCCATTTTTATGCAATTCTGGGATGTTTTTTTAAGTAAAAATAAGTCGACGTGTACATGGTTATGGCAAATACGGTTTTCAATCAGTGCTAAAAGCAATAGCCAAAAGATTTCCGCCGAAAAAATAATTCTGCAACTTATTAAACCCTTCCGGTTTCGAATTTGAATAAGTTGCAGAATTATTTTTTCAGCGGAAATCTTTTGGCTATTGCTTTTAGCACTGATTGAAAACCATATTCGCCATAACCATGTACACGTCGACTTATTTTTACTTAAAAAAACATCCCAGAATTGCACAAAAATGGCATTGCGCACACTTCCGCCGAAAAAATAATTCTGCAACTTATTCAAATTCGAAACCGGAAGGGTTTAATTGCTATTTTATATTTTAAAACAAAATAATAAAAAACTGTATTAAAAATTATCTGTAATTAATAAATGTACATTTTCTTTCTATTCATACTTTTTTACTCAAACTTACAAATAGCGCCAACCTGGTTGCGATAATACGTAAGTACCGAAAAAAATTTTAATTATCATTCTAAGTAATGGCATGCACCACACAAAAACAAAGTCAAAATTGAACAAGTGATACCAAAAGCTAACAACAAAATAAGCCTAAGAAAACTATGCAGCATGCTGCCACTTAAAAATACGGTAAAACATTGTAATCACATTTTAATTTCTGCAACAGCTAATAACTTCAACATTCAAGTGAATAAAAATCACATAAAAACATGAAAAACAGAAACATGAACATCTATTTAAAGAGAGATAGAAAGGGCTATAAAATAACATACTTCAAGATTAGCATGGGATAGATCTGTTCGTTCTAAACAGCAATAACTAAGATTTGCCCCAGATAATTTTGTACGATGAAGATTTGCATATTTAAAATTTATATGGCGAAGATCCAGACGTGACAAATCTGCTTGACATAGATTTACTCCCTTAAAAAAATACAGAATGCATACCATAAACACAATTTGTACAAGATACATATGCATACACTATGTTCAGGATTTGATATTAGCAATTCTTTAACAGTTAAATAAAATTGAAACAACTGGCAAAAAATACTGATAGACAAAAACATGAAAAAGAAATTAAGTATAGTATATATTGGCTGGTAAATTTAATGAAATTCCATTTCTTATTAAATGGTTAACATTTAAATTTACCCTTTAAAGATAAGTGGAATTTGATTAAATTTGTTAATCTTAAATGTTAAGGTTAAAAAATTTAAGATTTTCATTTCAACAACATTAAATGAATATAATGTTATCGATTTTATTTGAATTATTTCATATCATTAAAGGTAAGCAAAGCAATTCCAGTCTTTGCTTGAGTAAAAAAATTAGTAACTTTTCCTTACGTAAAGCAAATGGCTTCTGCATAAAGCCCACACAATATACATCTTTCTGAGACAACAACCTATGGTTCCAAATGATTTTAGTCTTCTGTGGAGGTACCTGTCTTAAACAGGTGATGATATAAAGATCTTAAAGAGACTGTCTTAAAGAGGTGATAATCTTATTACTAATAATTGTATGAAGGCAATCAACTGTAGGATATTTTATGTTAATTAACCAATTATTATGAATTCAGTCTTTACTACGACTTTTTCTGTATTTCTCACCAAAATGCAAATTAGTTAAGTATTTAAGCTGAGGTTTCTGGATTCGAGACAGATACTATTGCTGGCATCATGTGCACGCTATGCAGTTAGTTCCTGCCAGTTCTAATGGTTGTGATGATTTAACTTTGCAGTCTCTCTCTGCTGATACTTGAAATCTCACACGTCAGTAAAGGTACTCAGCCAGCTTTTAGTTGAGTTTTTAATTGTGTAGCCTTTGAATACTGCTCAACATTTAATTTAAATTTGACTGTTCTATTTACTTGAATCACTACGAGTTGTGGCTATTGCAGCACAACAGTATGTACTTATATTCCTAGTTCTGTTTAAATAAAAAAGGTTTTTATAATCTTCTTTAAACTTTTATTGTTGTTCTCAGACATAGCAACAACTCACTTCACATCTGTTAGGGTTAGAGGATCTAACTAGCATTACCATATCAAATGTAACTCTATACAGTATATGAATTTATTATTTTATACATTGGCTTCCGAACATTACGCACACAATGCAAATTAACAATTTTTGAAAATGTAGTTGAATATAAGTGGCTGAAAATTGCTGTGGATGCAAATGGCAATATGCAAATACTGATACAACCAATGACGGTTGATAGTCCAAACACATGCTAATTAAGCCATTGTTGAAGACACCAGCATTTTTATGCCGAAGTATTAAGTGCTTGTGCTCCACTAACTAATCCAGAGAGGGGGAAGATTACAGAGCTCAACACCTCGCTTGGAATGTCTCATAATAGCATAACATCTTGTTCACAGATGAGGACAAATTTGCCCTAGAATTAGATAATATATGTATAAGGGTCTGAAGAGAATGGGGCACACAGAAACAGGCTCAAAACATCAGCAAATTTCACTTATTCGGAGGTGGAAGCATCATGATGCGAGTTGGAATTTCAGTGGGATATCGCATCTAGCTGCACAACTTTTAAAGACAGTTGCACAGTATTGGGATAAATCATCATTGTGAGATTATGTTACAGAAGTTGGCAATAATTTCTTCTTATAGATAATGTCCATCCTCACTGAGCTAACATTGTTGACGAGTATCTGGAGAGGCAGGCCATTTCTCGTATGCAGAGGCCACCATATTTCCTTCATCTTAATAAAAATGAAAATCTTTGGGATGCCCTCTTATGAATGCTATCTGCACATTTACCGTCTCCAGCCAGTATAAAATAGTTGGAAACTTCCTTAATTGAGGAATGGCCATTGCTAGCATTTAGATGGTTGATCACCTCACAGAAGGCATGGGCAATTTTTATAAAGTTTATGTGAAGGTCCAGGATTATTACTTACCTTAATAACATATGTTTCGTTACTTGCTTTATGCATGAACTTGTTAACTACCCAAATCTGATGTCAATATATAATGTATGAAAATTAAATAGTTTTCATTTGTACAAAATACTTGTTTCTTTCATGAATAAACACATTTTCTATCTTCATGCAACATTTAGTGTTGAGGCTTTAATTTTCCCTTTTTTTTTTTTTTAAATTTTACCATCACGTGGTTGACTTTTCGAAGCCAGTGTAATCATGTAATACAGTACAAAGTCCAAAATTTGCACCTCCAGACCACCAGTAAATTTACTTTCTCCCTTTTCTGGTTTTTTTCTCGCTTACAAAGTCTAGAAATGGAGTATATAATACTCAAAAAGCTAATGTTCCTTAAAAGCGATTTTTTTTCTGGACTAACCGAGATTCCTGCATGTTACTGTGAAACATTGCTGCCTAGGGATGTGCACCATAGCAAATGCCAATACCAATGATTAATGTTGGTCATGACCACACCTTTCGGCTTTTGAGATATCATTTTTCTATCTGACCTACACTATTGAGTGAACCTCCAAGACATATTTGTCTCGAGTGGGAATGTTGCTGATACCTGTTTTCTTCTCTTGGCAAAGCAGCAGGAAAGAAAGAAATAATTAGATTTCTAGGAATTAAAGTTCAGTTTTAATGCAACAAAATACACTTTTCCTTAATTTTTCAATGGCAGCGGTCGAATGGTAAAGTTGCTAAACACTGGTAGTTCGGTCCGAAGTTCGAATCCCGTGAACGGGCTGGCTGCATGGGTGTTTTCGTGGTTTTCCCAATGTGTGAAGTGTATACAAGAAAGTCCTCCATGAAGACATCCCTCCCCTTAGGCAGATAGCCCTCGAGGCTTTGCTGTAATTAAATAACCTAACTTTAATTTTCCAATTTGATCTAGCTTATTATTTTTTGCAGGGTATTATATTATAGATAGCTTATAAAAATTAAATTGTGAATTTTTGAATACACCAAAAAGGTTTTCTAATTCTGGTGCTGTAGCAAGATCTGAAAATTGAGAAGATATTTCACTGTAAATCAGAAAAAGGAATTTTCTGGGAAAAAAAAAAAAAAAAGATAAGACCTATTAATCTTAAAATCATGCTAGGAGTATGGCACCGGAAAGTCAACAGTATATGACATAAACAACAGAAAAAGGAACTGTGTCAAACTATTTTGTAATATCTCTTATTACCCCATTTTGACGAAGTCAGGAGAAAACCAGAGCAGCTAATGTATGAGTTCCTTACAAAACCTAATCTTACTTACTTGTACATCATGTTATGTATATTTAGCGAATTTTGCTGGTGCCTATTATATAATCTGTAAAAGATGTAAAAAATTAGCGTAAGTATGCAACTTACAAGTTTAAAAATGTTGGCAAGTGTCAGTGCCAGCTGTTTTCTTATTAATGTGTTGTGACAGCATGCTTATCCATTGCTTGCAAAAAATTATTGTTTGGCAGTATTATCCAAAACAGTCAACGGCAAAATATGTACCTTTCCAATTAGTGGAAATTTGTGAAGAAATGATGATAAATAAAAGTGACACAAGAGAAGTTCTTCAGTGTGATGACAATGCCTCAAGCATCAATATACTAACAGATGGCAAAATCTGCAGCATGGTTTTAAATCTAGAAAATATCACTACCGATAGTGATAAAAATGACAAAGAGATTACTGAAAATAGATTTCAATTAATAGTTTGGTGGGAATTCTCCACACTTTAGTTTCAGGGCTTGAACAATGGAACTTTTTAAATGAACATGAAATTATGCCTATTGAGGACTATTAGCATAGAAAAGGAGCTTAAATAACTTGAATTGAAAGAAATATCTCATAAATCAAACAAATAAATACTGAGCTTTTTTGTAACATTTATTCTATGGTTGTAAAAGCTTCATTACTTCACAAACAACCATTTCATAATTTTAATTTTATAATTTCTACATGTCATAGCAGATTTGAACTGATGACCTAAAAATCTAGAAATTTCCAAAATACGGAATTACCGAAGCCTCAATGGTTCCAGATTTTGGACTTTGTACTGTAGTAGCAATATCGCCACATTAAGTATGAACATTGCCAAGTTTACTAAGAAGAGGAATGGTTTCATGGAGGACTTCCTACAAGAAAATGGCTCATATTTAAGTAGCACACTGGGAAAATCATGGAAATGCTTATGTCACATATTCATTTGCTGGGATTTGAGTTTTCAACAGTTATATAGGTTCAGCTACTAATGATTATGTAGCTAATGGGCTGATATTACTGAAGAAACAAACTGGTGAATAAGAATGAATAAACACATACCTCCATGATAATAATTTTCTGTTATATCACGAGCCATTAGAATTTAATTTCTAAAAATTAATCACATCCTGCATGAATTGCAATTCTGAAATATTGTACTAGAATGGATTGAAATGGTCTTTAACATTAGACAACTTCATGCTATGCTTAGCAGCTTTGATCGCGGTTCTAAATAATTAGTAGTTTGAAACAACATAAGAAAAACAAGGAAGCACATGTAAATAAAAAACTTTCATCCTTTTACAGTTCACAGTACCCTTCAGTAGAAACTATTAGCTAGAGATGTAAACTTTTTAAGAACAAAACCATAATTTATTAACTACATATACAGAAATTACGATTGTGAATTAAAGATTACGAATATAAGTAAAAAGTTATGATAAAATGAGGGAAGATAGGAATTAGAAAAAAATAGCTAGCATGATTCATTACAAAAATGGTTTGGTTTATTTAGTTATGGCAAAGCACATGACAGCTATCTGCCTAAGAGGAGGTATGCCTTTGCGGAAGACTTCCTGGGAGAAACTGGCTTGTAGTCATGTTAAACATGGGAGAAACCATGAAAACATCCATGCAGCTAGCTTGTTTGCTGGGATTTGAGTCCTGGATTGAACTAAAAGTGTTCAGTGACTTTATCACTTGGCCACTAGAAGGCCCATTATAAAAATGCAACACTGATGTTATATCTATGAAATCTAGCTTGACTGTGATTCCATATATCCCAACAGAAACAAGGGGACATCAATGCTTAGCAAAATGTTTTAACGTTCTAGTCCCTTAAGATTATTTTACAAAAGTTTTATACACAAAGAAAAAGATTCATTATTTGACAAACAATTTTAGCTGTGGTGAAGGAAAAAAGTACATTACAATAACAGCATGGAAAACTCTCATAACATGTTAAACAAAAATTTTGAATAAAGCTAATTAAATATCGTATGCTAACAGATATCTCAGAATTTGTTTAAAACATGCATACTTTCTTTTCCCTCATGGAGAAGGAAATTTCAGACAGCTTCATATAAAGAACAGAAAAAATGTTTCAAGTTCTCAATGAGAAAAGAAAAATACTGCTATTTATGAATTCTCATTACGTGAAAATACATGATCTACGAATGATAATATAGAAACAGTGATCAGCTTGAAACAGTGAATATTAACCATAAATAATAAAAGCAACTATCATATGTATGTTGAATATGTGTTATTAGTAATATTTTAGATTTTTCTGTACCTGAAACCTTAGCTCAGAAGAATATGAAGTGGAAATTAATGTATTGATAACATCTCTTCTAGTAAGAGCTGCACTGTCTGATGAATGCTTTTGTTCATCCTATAAGAAGATAAAACTATTAATAAAGAGAAATGTACTGAGTTTAGAAAAGACAAATAAAATCAAGTAACTAAACATTTCTACAAATAATTAAAACAATATGTATAAAAACATAAAATCTTTCATTTAACTTAAAATGCAGAGAAATCAGTTACATGTTATTTCTGTATTTATGCATACAAAGTTCTTTTGAGATTCAAAAAAGGAAAGAGCATCTGATTTCTATCCCTGGTATCAGCCAGAAGTATCAAAGGAGTACATCTTTCATTAATTTTTTTTTTCAGAGTGTATCTTTGATTAAAATTTTTTACATTCTTTCAGTTTCTAAACTCTCATTACTGAAGAATCTAAAAGAGATAAATTCTGCAGATAATTCTTTTGCTATGCCATTTCTGAGCAACTGCGCTTTTCTTTAGATTATTACAGCAGCATATTCCTTCCTGAAACTTCCAATAAATTACTGTCAAAATCCTTCCATTTTAATTTTAGAGTATTTCACAAAATTTCTAACTGAGTGCTTCAGCAAGTTACTATTTGGTTGATTAAAAATGGAGGACTCAAAATAGCTACTGATAATGCACATTCAAACACTGCAAACAGATATCACAATTCTACAGATAGATGAAGAAAAACTCTAAATAAAAATTTTAAAAAAATGAGTAAATTGATGCAGAAAATTATTTCAGAAGAAGAAAAGGGGGCTAATAAATAATAACAACAATATAATATATCAAATTCTACAGCATCTCTCACTTGTTCCATTTTTTACTGAAAGAATACATACAATGATTTAGTATCTATTAAATTTTCAACCAACGGAAAATTAGCATGCACTACCCATTGATACATCTTCATATCATGTAACAAAACATTGTGGAATACAATACCACTAAAAAAATTGCAAAGCGAAATAATATTTGTTGAAGATTTTTTTAAAACTGTTAGAAGCTGATCTGAAAAATATTTTGAATGTGTTTTTATTAAAATCTCATCATTATGAATCAATTTCACAGTATTTGGTCGCAAAAAAATTTAATGAACTAATTAAAAGTAACCTCAAATAAATTTTGAAGATGTTTATCTCCTTTCATGAGTTGGACTATGCATAATTTTACCTGAAATCTGCTAGTAAAAGATATTCTGGCAGCCTTAGAAAGAATGTGGATGAATCTGTTTTCAGTGGATGGAGTATGGCATTCAAACAGTTGCCAAATGACTTTGTGCATTTCACAGAAATTCAGGTTTATTTCACAGAAATTCAGGTATGTATATGCAGCCAAAAATATTTCTAAAAAATTTCAATAAATTTTCTTTTTCTTTTATAATTCACTTTTACATGTTAACTACCAGTCTTCCTCATGCTTACAAGTTAATGCTTAACACAGGCCAAGACATTTTCAAATTTTTTGGATTATAATCCAAGAAATCTAAAACTTAGGTTTAAACAGAATTACAAGAGAACTTTCCCAATAAATTAAGAATCCTTAATATAGACTAACAGAGTTAAAAAAAAAAGAAGCAATAGTATACTATTGTTTTTGCAAACTTTCTATTGTTTAAAAAAAAAGAATGAGAATTGCCTACTTTTATGAAAAACATCTTTCAATGACACGTTTTTAAGGACTGCTTGAGCTCATTACATGTGAAGCAGAAAGTACGTGGTTAAATGAATAACAAAAAAACTCAACACAGACTATCTGCCCAGGAAAGGTAGGATTTACAGAGGACTTTCTAAGGGTAATTGTGTTATTGTAGCATCAAACATAAGGAAAAATATTGAAATGCTAAAGTAAACAACTTATTTCATAAGGAACTGTACCCATTACAAAAATACCAGCTTCCAGCACTTTTATTTCTTGGCCTTTACACAGGTGAATACTACCAGGGTACAACAAATTTAAGATCATAACTATTAGACTTATTATTTTATAACATTATACTTATTATTTTATACAGCTAATAAACAAAATAAATCTACAGGATACATACTTCTCATAAGAATATAATCATTTTAATGAATAAAATAATGAAACACACAGATTGCTTACAGAAACAGCTTCAAAATCAGAAATTATCAGTCCATAACTTTGGCACTTAAATAACATTTATACTATATTTACCATTTGCTTCAAAAGTTAAATTTTGTCTAAAAAAATTGCTTTTTTCTTAATGATATTTATTTCTCTCATAATTAGCCCAAGCTTTCAATAAAATTTTCTCATAAGCACATTATAAAGCACAGTTCCATGTAGATTAATTTATGTTACAGAAGCATATTTACGACTAAATAAGTGCAATCATACAACCTGCACCATCTTTTCCAGTATTTTTACTAAACTTTCGATTCCAAAAAATCTTGCTTCTTCCAAAACACCTAACATAAAAATAAATAAAGATGTGATAAAATATGAGAAAAGTAGCATACGAAGATATACTGAAATATTTTAATATTTCTAATCCTGAAATAAATATATAAGGTCAATCAAAACGAAAGCCGGAGTTATAAAAGCACATAACTGCAAAAATGTCAAACACATGAAAATGGTTTATATGTATTAAAACATGGTAAGATGTAAATTATAAGGGGTATAGAATAAGAATGTGAATGGCAGATCTCCAATTTTAGATCTAGAGGTAAGGATTATTTTTGCCAGAAGCTCCTGCCTCACCACCACTGTCAAAACTGAAGCAACGTATCATTCTAAAAGACATCTTTTTGCAAGAGTATGCCAACACTGGTGTGCATGGCGGAAAAAAAAAACTGTGATATTTTAAACTTACATCAAGGGGTCAATTACTGACGAGACCCAAGCAATGGGCTGTAGTAAATATCACAACTGTATATCAACTGAGGGGGGCTTGGTATGAGATTGAATAATCTGCTTTGTTACATAAAAAGCAAATACCAAAACTGATAAAGCAAGAAGAGGAACCGGAAGATTGCATTAAAAGTTAGACTTTCTTATTTGGAGAATTTTTTTAAAAAATCTGATATTTATTCATTGCCAGATTAGCATTTTCTTTATGTTTCATCATTTAAAACACCTCTGTAATTCAAAGTATATGACTATGACCAACAATTGCAAAAATAAAGCCCAGGTAAGGACTTTAAGCCAGGTAAGTGGGTGGGTATACATGTTTAGTACTGCCAATTAAAATAAAACTTTAAATTTACTTCGTACAAGGAAGTAAAGAGTATGCAGATCACATAAATATCATTAATTGTCTAATTTTTTAAAAATTCTTTTTCAAAATAAACTCTGATTCCAAATTTTCTGAATACAAAATCAGATAGCGTATGAATTTTGTAAATGAACCAGTTTTGGAGGAAAATTATACATAAATTTAAGTGAATAATTATTTTTGTCTTACACTGCATTATAAAATGAAAATAATCACAGTTTTATGAAGTTTAACAAACTCTGTTTTATAAAATAACACTACATGCATTTTACAATGGGGTTTACTGCTCACAGATTTAGTACTAGCTGATATTAACACAGCTAGATATTTATAATACATACATCACAGGATTCTGGAAAAGATTTCATGATGTAAATACAATACATGTAACTAAATATTACCTTGGGGATTTGTACTTTTGTCGAGGATCAGTTGCCCATGCCTTAAATAGTTTAAAATGGGCTCAAAATAAACAGGACTTCGATCAATAAGAAAGGCACCATTATTATCAACAGAGCTTGGGCATAATAAAGCACTGCCTTCAGATGCTATCATACATGCCAGCATAGAATTTGGTTCTTTCGTTGTCAGTGTGCTTCTGTTAAGAAAAAATCAAAAATATACTACATTAATGGGACAAATTTAATTCAGTCAGACTGTTTTTAAATGCATAACACATTTAAAGTACATGATGGAACAAGGTATTTGTCAACCAGAAAGTAATCAGTCCAAAATGCTGCTTAGGATTTTGATAGGACCCTCAAACTTCCTTCATAGAGCTCTTAATTGCTAAATCAAAATGGATCATTACCCCTGAATATGTATAATTTTGCAGCAAACTCATAAAAAAATTCCATGTATAGATTGTACAGTTTATCAGGAAAACCATCAATATAATCCCATTTTAATTTTATGAATTCACACATTTAAAATTTGCTGTAGGTGGAAACTACCCAACCATCATAACATTTTACTGATGAAATCAAGTACAGTACAAAGTCCGTAATCCGGACTCATCGGGACTTCAGCGATTCCAGATTAGGGGTTTTTCAGAATTATAGATCATCAATTTAAATCTGGTAAGATGGCATGCAGAAATTATACAATTAAAAATATGAAACCGTAATTTATGAAATAAAGAGCAATTATGATTTAAAAAGCATAAAATTTTACAAAAAAAAGCTTAATATTTATTTGTTTACTTTATTAAACATTTCTTTCAACACGCGCATGCATAAAGCATACATTATGCATAGTCGAAATTAGAAAATTGCAACCAGAAAACTATTTGATGTGTATTCACGATATTTATAATGACGAGGAAACTGATTTAAATCATATCAAAGATGGAGTACATCGAGATGAAATACTACATTTAGTAAGAAATTATAAGCCAAATAAAATCAAAACATCTGCCCTGAAGATGAGGATAGTGCTATCAGATCAACTTCCAGTTCATTGTGCGCCGCGACGTTCCTTCCCCCCCCCCCCCACAGAGCAGCGTGAAATTGATAAACAGATTTCGGAATGGTTAGAGAAACAAATCATTAAGCCAAGCTGTTCTGATTATGCAAGTAATATGATGCTAAGTAGAAAAAAATGCGGTTTTATTGATGAAATCAAGTACAGTACAAAGTCCGTAATACGGACTCATCGGGACTTCAGCGATTCCAGATTAGGGGTTTTTCCAAATTATAGATAGTGCTAACAGATCAACTTCCAGTTCATTGTGCGCCGCGACGTTCCTTCCTCCCCCCCCCCGCAGAGCAGCGTGAAATTGATAAACAGATTTCGGAATGGTTAGAGAAACAAATCATTAAGCCAAGCTGTTCTGATTACGCATGTAATATCATGCTAAGTAGAAAAAATGCGGTTTTACTGATGAAATCAAGTACAGTACAAGGTTTGTAATACAGACTCATCGGGACTTCAGCGATTCCAGATTAGGGGTTTTTCAGAATTATAGATCATCAATTTAAATCTGGTAAGATGGCATGCAGAAATTATACAATTAAAAATATGAAACCGTAATTTATGAAATAAAGAGAAATTATGATCTAAAGGGTATCAAATTTTACAAAAGCTTTATATTTATTTGTTTACTTTATTAAATATTTCTTTCAACACGCGCATGCGTAAAGCATACATTATGCATAGTCGAAATTAGAAAATTGCAACCAGAAAACTATTTGATGTGTATTCATGATATTTATAATGACGAGGAAGCTGATTTAAATCATATCAAAGATGGAGTACATAGAGATAAAATACTACATTTAGTAAGAAATTATAAGCCGAATAAACATCTGCCCTGAAGATGAGGATAGTGTTAACAGATCAACTTCCAGTTCATTGTGCGCCGCGACGTTCCTTCCTTCCCCCCCCAGAGCAGCGTGAAATTGATAAAAAGATTTCGGAATGGTTAGAGAAACAAATCATTAAGCCATGCTGTTCTGATTACACAAGTAATATCATGCTAAGTAGAAAAAAATGCGGTTCATTTAGACTGTGCCTGGACTTAAATGACACTTAAAACCTGGTGAATCCATTTCCAAATATTTAATTGCCATGCGTGAAATGGCCAGTCGCAGTTCTGTTGATGATTTATCAATTCTTGATTATGTAATCAATGGGATACCGGATCAGAGTAGTAACAAAATTATTTTGTATGGGTGTAAAACTATTTCTGAATTCAAAGAGAAATTTAAAATTTATGAGAAAATCTGCATTCGAGATACGAAGAATATGGGTTATTCAAGTACTAGCACACAAAATAAAGCACGCGCTATACCTAATAAGAGTACAGAACCAAGTATAGGGCACGTAATATATGCGCATTCTTTACGCGCATGCTTAAATCATACAAAAAAAAGTTTGTGGCTTTGAGGTTTGAATTATAAATCATTCCGGATAATGGGACGTCCGGATTACAGACTTTGTACTGTATTATGCAAATTTCTGGCTTTGTATATAGACAATATTTCCGATTTCAAACTAAGATCAAAACTCCGAGGAAAATCACTCAAAGAGTTTTTAAAAAAAATTCTGGATTTGAATAACCTAATAATTGCTCTAAAAGTATATTTAGCCAGAAAGAAGTTTCTTTTGGACTGATCTCTTTACTCCAGATTATGTTAAACTATTGAATTAGAAAATTGAGGTAATTTTATATTAAACATAATAAGAAACAGCCTAAAGATTATGCAAATTTCTAAAAATTAGCAGTTTTGTTATGTTTTCACCTAGCACTGCACAGTTGCAGGCTCCTCTGGATAAAATGATAAAGCAATAAGAGAAAAACAACAAATGGCAATCAACTGTACCTTCATATGAATGCTTCAGAATTTGCAATGAGGTCAGTATTCCATCATATGGTACTTCAAACTCTAGCATTTCCTACGAAGAAATACAGCCAAACTAAAAACTACTTTGTGTATTCTGTAGAGAGCTCTGTAGTGCGTATACTGCCATAAAGCACTTCTGAAGCACACTAAAAGTCCAAACTAAGCCCCAGCTGTACACCACCTCTTGAAACTGAGAAAGCTCCCCCAAGATAGTTACAGCAAATAAATCTTCATCTTATCTAGTTCACATGCCATTCAAAATAACAACAGCGTGAACAATGCAACTGCTTGTTCAACTTCACCCTTCCTCACATTTAGTTCACAGCTTATAGAACTCAGTATACCTGTCTAGAAAACAGCAACTAGTGTGTTTTGTGCCCCAGCATTTGATAAAATTCACCTCATATTAATTACATTACGACAATGTCATCACACAACATCACAATGTTTCACTCCCTTTCACATTTAGGAGGAAAAAGCAGCTTCAGAATTTTAATGTGCATTTTGTTTGGCCATAGACAAAGGATTCCACCTGTACACTTACAACTACATTTTCTGTCAATGAATCAAAATTCATCACTATACTTAAAGTTAAATCACTTTTCCTTTGGCAAATAACAGATTCTCTTATACTCATATGAAACCTTAGTCATCCTCTGTCACCAGAAGATTATTATTGTGCCTTGATAATAATTGACAGGCTTACTTGATAATCACAGGCTATATCAATCACAGATAATGTGGATTTTTCAGCTGCAAATTCTATGTATACATAAAGATTTTCATTCAATATCAACAATTATCAACATGTCACAAAAGTTAGCAGTTTAAGAATATTCTTTTTAACCCGAGAATCATGACTGCTTTTATCAAGTAATGAAATTTGTTGTCATTTGGTGTACATTATTTTGTTATTTAAAACATTTCGCTCCTCATTTCCTTTACAAGATCTATATGTCCCACTGCATGGTATGGAAGAATGAAATAAGTAATTAACAAATATAGCTAATAAAAGTTGTTTAAATACAGGTTTTTATGGGATAAAACAAATGTCATGCTATTCATAGGGTTAAAGCTTTAAACAGATTCTACAGGTTGGACATAATTTCCATACTACAGTTTATCATCCAAATACTAATGAAATGAGGGGAAAAAAGATTTATATTTTTTATGCTACTTAACTAGTTACATTAAATGTCTTTCTTTTGCCTCTAGTCAACATTCACACGAAGAATGACATGAAAAGCATTTCAAGAATTGGCGAAAGAGTTATAAACAAATGTTGGCAGGTACTACTACTTGCTTTTTCTGTAACAATTAAATTTCTGCAGTAAAGCAATATTGTGTTTGTCTGAAGAGTTATTATTCCTTTAAGAAGAATTAAGTTTCATACTGAAGATGCTAGATAACAAGCGTTAAGATTAAACAGAAAAGCAGAATCTTTCACTAGCTAGTTTTGAGCGAAAACAAATAGCTTATTGTCAGTTTCTTAATTTAATCATTACCTCGCACGAAGCAATGGCTGTTTGATTTGAATTTCAGGTTGTATTTTGTAATTTACACCTTAATGGTAAATAAATAAATGTTTTTAGTTTGTTTAAACTTGAGTTGTTATTTAGCTTACTGGTACTATTGCTTCGGAGCAAAGGTGAAACCTAGCAAGAAAGCCTGCTGATTCTAGCAATTTGAAAGTAGAAAATAGTAATACTGTTACACAATATCCTTCAGATTTCATCAAATCCATGAGATACATAAATGGTCATTTCCTCCTGTTATTCTGCTTTGCTACCGTTAAATACTACATTAAGACCATATTGGTGTAATGGTCATTTCTTCATGTCATTCTGTTTTGCTACCATTCAATACCATATTAAGGCCATTCTGGTGTTATGATGCATTAACTATTTTATAGTTCCAAACTTATTATTTCCATGAGAGTTTTCATCACCAACAATTCCCAATCCCAGTACAATGGATTTTCAAGGATACTTTCAACAATAAATGAAAGGCCTTTCATGTTTATCAAATTCTTGATAAATGTATTTGTTAAACTCAATCCCAAATACCTAATTGCTTCCCTCTTCTACTGTGAAAATGCCTATTCAAAATGTTCATGTTCCCAGTATATTCAAGACTTTCAGAAGGAAACTGTTCAACCTGGAAGAAACTGATTCTTCACTAAGAATCTTGATGCAGAATATGCTGCAGGGTATATATCCTCTTATTCAAAAACCTGTGAGTATATGCAAAAATG